TGCTTGCATTTATGTTATAATTATTATGAATAATTACGGCAGTCAAGTTACATATAAATGGCAGTTGAAAAATATCGCCGAAGCTCAGCATTACGACTACCTATTCAATGCTGCACAACGCGGTGGACAGCCACACCCAAGGCCGTGGCCGGTTCAGAGTTGAACTCCCCCCCGAATTTTTTTTTGAAATATTTTTTATATATTTTATTATTTTTTAAATAAAGACTAATTTAATTAAAATAATATTTTTATATTTTCATATTTTACTATATATAACATATTTATACTCAACCCCCCCCTAAATATTTTTCTGGCTACAGTATTGGCCACACCACTATTCCCCTTTGATTTAATTTTCATAAAAGTTTTTTTTTGTTATACCTAGGTCTACCCATATAGATTATGAACGCGATGAACCGATGACGGTATATTGTGAAAACATTTTATTGCGATCGACCTTTAATCGTTAAACAAATCGACTAGTCGGGGACAATATAGATTTATACTGTCTATAATGTAATATGAAACCACTATATAAAGTCTGTAAATGTTTTGGTTTAGCGAAGAGTGATTTTTCAGCGTTACGTGAATGTGCGAGTGTGACAAAGGTATTTGTTATTGTGTGACGTACACTCGTCCGCAGTCAATATTTATATTGATTCTTTGAAAAAAAAAATGTTTATTGAGTTTTAGCACATTCTGTCAATTTATAATGATGGAAAAACAATTATTCCATCTAGTGGATACGGCGCAATAATATTGATGTTGTACAGTGCGACGGTAAACCGCTATAATAATAGGCATAATAATTTATTATGGATTTAATTTTGCTTATATCGATATACTTGGACCTTAAAAAAATTGGTAATGTTAAACCACCGCGCCGGGCCATAAAAATATGAACATAACATCATTCTATATTATATAGTGTCATATTGTTAAAATCAATGAAACAATATTAGATTACATGTAAAATCTTTTTTTTCACATTATTCATTCATATTTTTAATTTGTTATTCGACGTAAGTACACCAACACCATGTACAAATATAGGTGGCGACTATTATTATTTAAATTTAAAACACAAATTGAAATTTTTGATTTAAGTTATTTTTAATTTTGGTCTTATTTTGAATGGCTCGAAAAAATATGTTTTATTATATTAAGTTATTTCAGTGTGTTTTAAATATTTCAATGTCAAATATTTTTGTACTAATGTGTTCTAAGGGTTCTGAAGTCCATTTGGATACTGAAACTTGAAAATTGTTCATTTGAAATAATTAATAAAATGTGAACTATTTTGAGGCAAAACTTACGTACCCAAACACATTATTATATAACACATTCCACCGCCAGACTACACAATATGAATATTCTATGTCCATATTTCGATAATTCATATAGTTGGTTATTTGTAACATAATATCTTTATTTTATGTTAGAACTTCCATTGAAAACTCAATTATAATAAATTAAATGTTATCAATTTCTATATTATTGTAAACTTAATATTGTCCACCTAATTGTTTGAACAAAAAAAGACAATTAAAGTATAATATAAAACAATAAAACATGTATAAAAAACATTGTTATAATGAAATTTGATAGTCGATTTTTAAACTTTATTTTTAATTTAATAAACAGTTGAATATAGTTTTTCAGGTCATTAAAATGTTACCGACTTGTTTTACAATAAGGTCTTGTTTCAAACAAAAGAGTTTCCAATTTCTTATACAAATTAGTAATTGTTTATTTTGGTTTAAGAATAAAATCTTCTTATAATTTATTGTATTTGATCAAGCTGAAAAACTGATTAGGAATGAAAATCAAATGTTACCTATTATTTAAATACTTTTTTGAAGTTAAAATAAAATAAAGTATTAAATGAATAATAAATAATTTAGTAAGCTGGAGTTACAATTTTGCTGCGACGATTGATCTCAATGGTATTTAATATGCTTAAAGAAGAAAAATAATTACATAATTAACATTATCAATAATTATAACTAGGCGTAGGTGTCTAATAATTATTTAATTTAAAAATAAAAATTTTAACATGAATTTTCCTAATATGTGAAAAATATTGTTTCCAGAAAAAAAAATTAGAAATAAATTAAATCATTGTAACGAAGTTTATTTTTTTAATGATTATATTTTTAATACATTTGTAATATTAATTGATAATACAATTGAAACACAATAATATTTTTGTTTTTCTCCTTGTAATTCAACTTAAAAGAATATATTTTTATTACATGTTCTTTAAAAATGTGTTCCTCCAATTTTTAAAATAATCCAGAGAATGATTTAATGATGAGAAAAATCTGTGGGATATCATAAACCTACATATATCAGGTATCCGTAAACTGTATTTTTGGTTGGATTTATTTTTAAATGTTTCCATTAACCCAAATGGCCATATATATATATGCAATAATATCGACAATTATTTTTTAATTTGATTTGTTGTATAATATATTTTTAAACTATTTTAATTAAAATAACTCGTGCAATTCAGCATAACATTTATGCCTTTAAGAGTTATATCGTTAAATGTTCGGTGTTTCCAAAGGATATACGAATTTTTTACAAGAATTCTTTCCACTAGAAAAAGTTTAGGTATAGGTACACAGATGAAAGACTAACCAAAATGAACGTGCACATATACATGCGGCCTGTTCGTTCCGGTGAAATAGCTAAACAACAAATTTCCATAAATCCTATGAATACAAATTCCCATAGTATTATATAATATTGTAATATATTGTTAAACACCTTATATCAGCATATCCGAGTAATACTTCTTTAAAAAATTTTATTTTATTTTTTGTTTTGTTTTATCACGACGTTACATTTGATGGAATAGATAGAAATAATTTCGAAGGGTACAATTTTAGAGCTAGCTAAAGTATGTAGGTGGTATACATGCATGTATACGGTCTTTTGAGACTATATAAAAATAAGTTCCCCAAGGTATATTGTATCAAGCATACGATGTTCAACAAATGTCTATAGCCGCTGGATACACTAATACGTTTATACGGTATGGACCCGGGACCGTCAATTATAGTTTCCATCATGGCTAAAACTATTTTCGAAAAATAAACCGGCATAAACTCTCGTTATACGCTAACAAAGCGTGTCATCGTTAAAAATCGGAAAGAAAATTTCGATGGAGTTTGCCGATCGGTATCAAGTAAAACATAGAAACCAATTTGTAATAATCTGATGTCAAGAGCTGTCTTATATAATTATATTGTCATAAATTATTCCGAATAGAACTTTACCCGTATAGATAATCTCCAATGCCTCTCAGTTTCTGAGAGATCAATATTTAATGAGTACCTACAGGTGTTATGCATATTTATTGTTTTGTTTGGTTTTTGATTATCTGGTAACTGAGTAATTGATTCTTTTTATTAATTATTTGCTGCTGTTTACAAATACCTACTAAATACAATTAATATTATCAATGTATATTTACAATGACTGAAGTATTTTAAGAATCTGAAAGAAAACACTAGGCAATCATTATAATATGGAATATTTAGTTTGGTTTAATCCTGAGGTTTCTGATCGAATTTTAACAATCGTGGATAGAAATTATATAAGATATTCCAAGAAAGTAGAATTTTAACGTTTGTGTACAGTTTTTTGTGGCCTGTAATATATTAGAATGTATGCATTTCCGTAACATTAGTCACTAAGTCCCTACTAGATTTTGAAAAGTCTTGTATTTATTTGTACCTATTGATTTGATTACCAGTAAAGGAAAATTATAGTATATAAAAAAAAATGAATTATTCATTTATATCATAAATAATACAAAAAAATCATTGTTTTATAATAGATGGTACGATTTTTAGAACAACATTTCCATATAAATTCGAACATATTAAATGTGTACAGATGAATTGGTACATTTTACCATGTAACAGTTGAGAATAGAGATAATAATAATAATAAATAACTACAAGAAATCATTGAAATATAAATTTCACATAAAGCTGCAATAATGTTTATTCATAAGTCAATACAGACAATGAATTAATTAAGTTGTTTCTAACTTGATGCTATTATTACATAATATTATTCATTCAACCAATGAGTTTATTTAGGATCGTTATAATATTATTTTAATGTTCTCTTACAACTATGGACGCTATAAAATAAGTTGATACAATTTTAATTTATGCATACAATAATATGTTGTCTTGCATAGAAAATTCTACTTTTTTTAAACAAAGTTTATACTGTAATTTTTAGAAAATATGCCGGCCTGTCCACGGTTTTATATGTTATCACGGATAGAAATTATCTGATTTTTTCTTCATTAAACAATATTGAATATATTATAACACGAAGAGTTAAAAAAATATCGTTATTTATAAATAATTAGAAAACCGCGGTCTTTATAATCGTATGATATAATAGTACCTATTAAAGATGAGTACTGCAACACACATAACTGACCTATTCGTTTACAAAATAGAGGATAGCTGATATGCATAGGGATGTTTTGTGTATACTCACTCGGTCATATATTTTAAGTTTTTTTTAAATTTTACCGAAAACTTATTTTATGAACGGCGTTGAATTTCAGCTTCAAAAATTAATTAGCGTAATCGTAATCCACTAAATAATTAGTTTGTAAACACACTCTGCATATATGGGTTCGACAATTACTAATTAACTGAAACGAGATCATATTGTAATATTTAAAATTCACGAATATGGTCATTGTCGATCATTATTGATGTCACTATCAAACGTTTAGTATATTTTTTTGTGTTTAATACTAACTAAAATAGAAAATATAATATTATGTACAGCCATGATATTGTCGGTATAGGTGTCAAGTGTAAAAATAAACTCAAACATATCATACGATTAATAAATAAAAATAAAATCGGATTGTCAAGTGATATACCTACTTAATGAATGTGTTCATCGCGATACTAATAATTTATAACTATTAAATACTTGTGCAGCGTACGTACCTTTTATGAATAGTCGGCGGCCGAGTTTAGTGTAAAAGTAAAACAAAATGAGTAGATGAGACGTTTTATAAGCACCAAACAGGCGCGGAACCTCATAGGGGTGTCGCGCATGTTCTTCAAGCTAAACACTACCTACCGACTGAATACGCCTTTTTCAATTATTTGCCGCACACAACAATATATGATATAATGTAATAAGTACGGAATTGTGTAATTTTCTATTATTATTTATCAATTTGCCGAACACAAATGCCTTCCACTGTCTTGTCGCAAAGGCATTGATAACATTAACTTAATACTAATCCATTGTGTGTATACATCATACATAATATTATTTCCAGTAGTGTCGGTTGATGATAATTTTCATACTTATAGGCTTCAGACACTAATAAATTATTAAATATAGAAATTAAATGTCTTTCACACATAACTACATAAGTTAACTATTGCTGTATCAAAATATGGTTTCTTTATAGACATTTATAGAAAACTAAAATAAATACAATATGTTTTTTAAAGATTTATTATTTCTAATTTTGATTCTATTCCTAAATTTTAGTTGTTTTATATTAATATAAATTAAAAATGTATAATCAATGTTTTTTAACTAAATATATGGCTTAGCTTCTTCATAATTTATCACCTCTTATTTGAATCAATATTCTTCACAATTTATCGTATACTCAATATTCTTTGTTAAGTTTTTTTTTTGTATCTAATATAGGTACTAATATGTGAAATTGTCACAATAATTAAAAATTGATGAATATCTCATATGGTGATATTATAACATATTCAATTTTGAATTACCATCAGAAAATAACGTCTAACATTAATTAGTTTTCTTAAATATAGTAAGTATGAATAGTATGATAATCAGTTATATCATGATTCGGCTATCAGTTAAATCATTACAAAAACAGGTAATCGAATCCATTGAACAACTATTAAAATAGACTCTCATGCGAGACAAATATTGTCCTACCATGTATAATATTTTGTCTAGTTTTTGATTAGTATTCAGCACGCCAAGAGCTACATTACATTACTTTATCTATTAAAGTGAAATGCTTCGTACCTTTTCGCTTAACCTACTTGTAAAATCATTCATCGAGAATAAATCTTTTTTTAAAGTTGTATGTAACTATATATATATTATATATAGCTTACCAATAAAATTGAAAACTATCTCTGTTGCCTGATTAAATTCCGAATTTATCAAAAAAAATTACGTTTCTAATATATTATAGATACACTTATAAAGTATATTTAAATTGCATCCAACCAACGATGACAATCAACACTTTACCTCATTACCTGGTACTACCTACATTTTACTGACGTGACCGTTTGAGCTCAAACATAAATGACCGCCGCAAAACTACTAAAAAAATGCAATCATACTTAAACCAAATTTCTGAGCGAGACATTTAACTAGAAAATTAAAATGAATCGCGACAAATCCGTCAATAAAGTTATTTCACTTCCCGGGTGCGATGATTACCCGCCTCTGCCACAAAATAATAGCTCTACAATAATTATATTAAATCATCATCTTATTACGAAATATTTGGTACAAAATTAACTCGGTCTCACCCACTCGCCTCTGTTATTTAAAACTAAATCACATCAACACAATCCTTCACCCGCAGTATAATTCGTCCTTTCTTGAAATCTAAAATTAGCTCAACTAACAAGATAATAATATCAAGAAATCCGTGAGCTGACATCCTGTATTATAGTCGTACCACTCGTACCTCAGGATTTAAATATCTAACTAATAAATACTCAGTTAAACGTTCATACGTGGTACATATAAGATATCTCAAGCAATTAAGGTTCAAAATATTCCGACACTCCGTGATGATACGTGACAAATATAATATACATTGATGCCGTATGTCAAAGTGACAAATGACGTTCACTTACTGTGACAACAACTACACTATATCCTTAAATCTACTAAATTTCCACTTAAATTAATATATTCAATAAAAAGCTGTACAATAAGGTACACCCACTCGTAACATGTTCTATTTCAACTGCAATTTCTGAAAACATTCTCCACCTTAAAAAAAAGAAGATTTATTAGTTGTAATTAAAAAAAAAAAATAATTAACTCTCTGGGTAGGTACTGTTGATGAATGTTTAGGTTACGATGAATGGTCTCCCATCAAGGCGACTAAAGTAGTTTATACTTTATTAATTAGTATTATCATTATTTATCAATGTTACTTATTATGAGAGTACACGCATATGAGAGTACATTTTTACTTATAAATTGTAAACTTAATTTACAATTATTTATATTGATTATGACTTAAAAAAAGTGCACCCCCCATAAAAAATGTATTTTTCAATTATATTCAATGATCTGGAACCTTGGAGAGTACCTATTTAATACTCGCATAGTTGCATTATGTTAGAATGAAAGATGTAATATCTAATATATACCTATTAAATAATAATTTTAATATTGTTATCTATACAAATTATGCAGTTTAGATTTGTGATTTTTTCTATGTTTAATATAATTTAATGATGACAAATTCGAAGGTCCAGTTTAAAAAAAAAATCAATTTATTTATTTCCAATTTAAACGTTTATTGAGTTTTTTCTGTGGTGTAGAATATAAACCATCTACTATATATAAACATAATGGTAAGAATATAGATTAGTTCATTTCAAAATTAATCTATATTTCTATGAATATTTAATAGAAATAATCAAGATTTTAAATTTTCCAGGTAATTAATGTTTATGCTACTATATTTGTATCAAACATTTTTTTGAAAATTACCGAAATTCCCCACTGTATATCTTGTAAAGCTAAAAATAATATATTTGAGATGTTTGGTAATTATTTCTTAGACAATAATCCTAAACATATTTAAGGCGAATGAAAGCGCTCAAAAGCATTTCTGAAACTCCAAAGAAATGATTGTATTTCATTTTAAAGGGGTTTGAATTACGGCGAAAATGTATTGCTGTGACTTTTTATGGCATTATTCTGCAAATATTTGTTAACTCGTATTTATGAATATTATAATATTATTCAGTGTGATTTTGTTTATCTTTTATTTTGTTTTATCTATATAATTTCACTTTTGTGCAAAAATAGTTAGTGGTATAAAAGTTACTGCCTTCTATCGATTGGAAATTTGACACAGATAGGGACTTTTTGTAGCGTCGTTATTTCCGTTGTTCGTATACTTTTTATGAACACTTAAAATTTGGTTAATGACATAAATTCTACAGTAAACTGAGATCTGCTCAGAGTCATAGTGTAGAAAGCGATGATTAATCATTTGGTACATCAAATTTATAACAATACATCAACACTATAGGTATACAGCACCGAGGTAAACGAAACGAGACAAATGTTCAGCACCCTGCTGTCTCTGGATCCTGTCTGCACATTTTAACAGCGTGTTTATTATAAATTTACTTTATACTCATAAACATTAATAATTATTTCAAATTTCATTTAATATTTCGTAAATGTATGGTACTGGTAAGAAGTGAGTAAGAAAAATTACAATATTTAAAAATATAAATTTAAAGATCATTAATTGATATCGAAAATATGAACGTAAGTTCTAAATATAATTTAAAAAAAAAAAATTGTGCCTATGTATTTTTAATATTTTTCAACTGCTGTTCTAACAGTATTATATCAGAAACCTTGAAATGCGTTTTTCCGATTCTGAGGAAAGACGGTAGTCAGTCTAGGATATTTTATATTGTTATTACTTATTATTACTACGGTAGCCGATGAAATGAATTAATATTATTCATAATATTATTCTTAAATTATCAGTAGTGCTGGAAAAATATTATATATACTTATGTAACATTGACCCTATCCAATGTTGAAAAAACTGATAAGTAATTTTGTGTTCAATTTTAAAATCTTAGATAATACTAAATAAAATTTTTTATAAATTCCTAACTTAAAATAATGTGCAAATGTTGGTGATTTTTAAGTATTTTTACCTATTTAGTCGAAATTTGAAATTCAGACTCATAAAAAATATTGTTTACTTACGCTCGATTCTTTTTTCATTTCCACTAACAACAACTTATGAGGAACCTTGTATTATAGATATTTTCAAGGTTTTTGAGCTAACTTTTTTTTATAAATATTAATCGAAAAGAAACTAATAATAATCGAAAATTACATATTATGCCTATTAATAGTTCAACATGAATCAAAATATTTTGAAAAGTTTATGATGTATAGAAAATGTTAACACAAACATTCAGTCAAAATTTCTTGTATCTATGGCCATTTTATTTAAAGTTACACGAACGTCGGCACTGAAATGTACGTTATATTTAGTTTTAAAGCTCTGATAAATCATCAGATTTATAGAACAGTACTGAGTGACCTTTACTGATCGTTTTTCGAAAATCAAAAAAAAATGTCGGTATTCCTAGATTTACTGTACTTGGCAATGAATATTATATGAGTTTAACGACCTATTAAAATTTCAAGGCATAATTCCTTGAACTACAAATTCTATTAAAATAAATCTAAAAATCCCTTCTATACGGTCTATAAGCTCTTCATGGATTACTTAAAAGTCAATTTCACATTTTTCACATTCGTCTCTGCTCTCTTACTCATCTGTCGGATTCTCATTCTACGTTCCAGATGTATATTTTCTTCCTTTTTACAAGTACCTAACTTCCTATTTAATTGTGCGTCTTTTTCGCAAAATATATTTCAAACGTATTGTTATTTCCATTTGGAAAAAGCTCTTCTGTTGTCTATTAATAATAATATCCTCTTTCATTTTTCACATTAAATTCAATGATACATTGATGCTTTACGAAATGATGAGAACCCCACCATACTTTAAAAGATATCGGGACTTTTTTAGTATTGTAATTATTTTAGTTATTATAGGTACCGAAATATATTTTTAAAATGCATTTCGAGCCTTACAAAAAAATCCTGGTTTCTTGCTCACGAAGTAAGTTTATGTTATGTAATTAGTTAAACTTGGCCGTCATTTGTACACTTACTTTAAAAAACAGTGAATATAGTATATTTTTAAAAACTATTTGGAAAAAAAAACTATATTTAAAAAATACTTTCGGCAAACACAAATTAAAAT